GGCCAAATAAAGTATAAAATATCAGTAAAAATTCAAGAATAGTCCGTATCATAGCCAAAGTCTTAACACAAAAAGGTAGTAATTTAAATTTAACTAGTTCGACCAAAATGAGATACAAATTACAATATTGTAAAGATATCAAACTAGATAAATCTATTACAATTATATTATATATTACAAGTGAGTTGTTCCATACTCATTATATCATATTTAAAAAAAAACCACATGAAATTTATTTCACTCCCCAATATCAAAATTGTATTATATCAAATGTATTGTATTAAAAAATATATTATAGCAAAAGTGATTTTGGTCAGTACTCTTGAAATCCTAGTTAAAATCCCAATTTATTTCCCTCCCCAATATTTTAGAATTATATTATATCAAAATTGTATTCACCTGATCATATGCATATGAAGAGTGTACACTGATAAATAGAAAGTAACAAAAAGTTAAACAGTTAAACAACTTATCTTAAAATCACTATAAGTCCCTAGGAAACTCCTCTTGGCACGGCAAAATTAGTTCATGGTTATGATGACAAATCCCATGGGAGTACAAGGTAGTAAAACCAGGCACTGGTCTATCTGATCCGAGAAATCGGTAACTCCATAGACAAGTTGCTAACTATTCAAGAAATTCTATTACTAATGAATATTTTCCAGTGAATATTCCTTAATGACTATTGTCAAGTGACGGAATCTAAAAGGATTAATTATTAGATTTAGTTACTATTTTATTTAATACTTGTAGCAGCATAGATTGACGGCACCAAAACAAAAACATCAGGTTAGATCAACATGTCAAAATTTCCGAAGTTACTTCGTAGACATGACAGGCTTGCGCCATGAAATGAACATGCGCAGAATACAGAAGGCTGTCCAATATTTGTCGAACCTTTTTATATTCCACCAAAAAAAATTAGAGAAAAAAGAAAACCAAAAAACCTAATAAGATAATATGGAATAAATAGAAATTTAAGTTTGACTATATATAAAAGGACCTTATGTTTTTTTGCAAGTGAATCAATGAAATTTTAAATTTAAATTATTTCGGAACTCAAAAATAAATCTCTAAAGAAATACTAAACTGCAATGATAAATTTTATGGTATGATAAGGAGGTAATACGTATGACATGATTTACTTACATGGAGCCGCAGCACGCCAAAAAAATCTCCCTTTTTATGTGGAACTCTTATAAATGAATATCTTGATTTTTAAAATTTACTTATTATTATTACTGAGATATGATTATTGAATTAGATATTATTTTATTCGTCCCAGATTATTTTATTGCTCCAATTCCGTCACTTTGAATTGATTGACGTGGCTGCGTATGAGTCTCTTGACCAAACTGACCGCTTCCGCACAGACTTGACCAATCTTCCTGTCAAAGCGACTCCTGCGCGTGTGTTGAAAAATGTCGATTTAAAAATCGATCGCGGGCGGGTTATAAGAAATTTCTTGAGGGGGTTAATCAGTAGCGTAAACGCTACAGACCATTACTGGTTGCACACAGTTCACATTTCCGGCACCATCTTCTTACATCATCTTTACAGTTCACCCAATAGAACCGTTCTCGAACCTTTTGCAGAGTCTTCGTAATACCAAAGTGTCCACCTGATGCACCGTCATGCAACTGACGCAATACTTCTGACTCTTTACTTTTAGGTATAATCAACTGAAGCTTAGTTTCTATACCATCATTGTTCTCAAAGGTTCTATACAGAAGATCATCTTTCAGCACTAGGCAATTCCATTGGCTCCAGTAACACTTGACTTCGGGACTACATGCACTAATGTCTTGCCAAGAATGTCTTTCACTTCGATGCATCCAATCCAATACTCTTTTTATACATGTATCATCTGCTTGAGCGTCTTGTAGCTATTGAGGCTGCCATTGATCATTAATGACGGTGGTTCGTCTCACGGGGCAAAGTCGTTCTTCTAATTCAAGACAATGATTACGATTTACACTGTATGGCTGGCTTGGCTGAGCATTAGCATTGGAATGACTTTTTCCAGCCCAGTGTTCGATCTGTTCTAGCTTTCTGACTGTTGTATTATTTTCTTGTAATTTACGACAAATGTGACCTACGTCGTTACCATTCCAACATCTGGGTTCACGTCTCTTCGGCATCATGCTACGAACTACTTTCCGTATGATTTCCTCCAGATGTTTATCGTTTCGTTCGTCACTCTCTTCAGAGGTTCGTACTCGATAGCTCCGTGAAGCTCGACTACCTGTCTCGTGTTCCAAGGCAAAAGCGAGCGCTTCATCTAAAACTTTTGGTCTTGCTAGTCGTAAAGCTTTCTGTATTTCACTGTCTCTTAACCCATTTACGAAGGTATCTACAGCAATTTCTTCCCAAATGTTGTCTGGTATCTCCGGATAAGCCAAACGCACTATACGAACAACATCTGCTTTAAACTCTTGCAAATTTTCACTTGCTCGTTGAACTCTACTTCTTAGTTGCGCCTTGTAGACTTTTTGTAGATGGGCATCTCCGTAAGGTTTGTCTAGTCGAGTGAACAAGGTCTGGTAACTATTTTCTTGACCCTTAGGAATCGATCTTAGGATATCCGCAGCATCACCTCGTAAAGGAGCAGTTAAGAAAACAGCTTTTTCTTGTTCTGTCCAATGATTGGCTGTCGCAACAGCTTTAAATTGTCTAAGGTATATGAAAGAAGAGGACTTTCCATCAAATGGTGGCAATTTGAATCTCATATGATGTGTCGTTTCGTCTCTCGGTGATTCTTCTTTCACTATTGGATCTAAGGCTACTGTATTAAGTGGTGATAGCACTTTCGTATTAGTTATCATGGTCTCTAATTGTTTGATCTTCTCTTCTACGTTGTTTACATTTTTCTGTATATGATCGAATGTTTTAGAGACTTCTTCAAATTTTTCATCGGTCTGAGTACATACTTCATCGAATCTTCTAGAAACATTTTCGAGTTTCTCGTCGTTTTGTCTAGCTACTTCCTCAAAAATTTGAGTTTCATCGAATCTTTTGGAAACGTTCTTGAATTTATCATCATTTTGTTTAGAAGATTCCCCAATCATTTGCGAGACGTTTTCAAATTTACTATCATTGTTTCTCTCTTTCAAATTTACTACTTCTTCTGCTGACTGGAATTGAAATGTCTCTGGGTCGTCTCCATTCTTGTTGAGAACAGTTTTCAGTCGTTCTTGGAGTATCTTCTTGGACCCGCTGCAGTCTTCATCGCGTTCTTCTTGTTGCTCATGCAACTGTTTTACTGAAAGTTCTACTAGCAGCATCTTTGGTCAGGCACACACGTACTTTTTTTTAAATGATCTTTAGTACAAAGTTCACTACCGAACTACGCGGATATTCCCGACGAATTATACTTTTCAAAAGTTCAAAAGTCTTTTTCAAAAGTCACTGTTAAATTTATGTTAAATTCTCACACTGGACACCAACTGTAGCGAGATTAAATCAAACGAGCAGTTCGAATTTATATAAATATATTTATTTATAACTTTACAGTTCGGTAAACTAAACTAATCTACATCCAACGTACGATAAACCACTTACGGAAGAATATGATCCCACAGTTCCTATACCAAATCCAAGAGCATTTTTTACTCCATGAAATATGCCAAGAACTCGCAAGGGAGGAGTTATAGGATCCGGCCCTGTTCTAGTTATTCACCTAAGAATGATGATCCAGGATTTGTGTTCTAATGAACTTTGTAATAAGATTAGTTTGCATTTTTATATTTACTTAATTATCATTTTACCATTGCATTTTCAAATTAGATATTTTTCAGTCTGTTCATAAACTTGAAAGAAGAAGCATAAAAGCTTTTTATAAAATTGTCCGATCTTTTTCGTAACTTTGTAATTAATAAAGTATTTATTTTTTAAAAATAGTTTTGCCTATGGAAAAACTATGTCGCGTTTGAAATGTGGACATTTAGAAGATTATTAAGGATTCCATAGGTAGATAGAGTCACGAATGCAGAAGTGTTAAGAAGAATAGGCAGAGAGAGGGAAATGGAAAATACAATAAAATAAAGGAAATTGCAATATCTCGGACATGTAATGAGAGGCGAAAGATTCAACATCTTGAGACTCATAATTTAAGGAAAAATAGAGGGTAGGAGAAGCGTAAGAAGAAGACGCGTTTTCTGGTTGAAAAACCTGAGAGAGTGGTTTGGTTGCAGCTCAAGGCAATTGTTCAGAGCAGCTACCTCGAAGGTCAGAATTGCCATGATGATTGCCAACCTTTGTCGCGGAGATGGCACTTAAAGAAGAAGATAAAACAATACAATGTTGATATTCCGTTTGAAAGAATAACTTTGTACACTACCAGGCCATTTCTAGAAATTAAAAATGGTAGCAAATACATGTTTGTCGTGATGGATTACTTTACGAGGTGTTGATCAAAGAGTACATCAGCCGATTTGGGGTGCTTTTGGAGATCCATAGTGACCAAGGAAGGAATTTCGAGAGCGATCTATTCCAAGGAATCTACAATAGATTAAGCATGAAGAAAACAAGAACAACAGCTCATCATTCGCAATCGGATGGAATGGTAGAACAAATGAATAAGTCAGTAAATGAATCCTCCAAAATTTCTTCTTGTTCGGACTGCCTATCTGATTGTCTTTCTGTTATCTTATGAATGAATGGGACTTTGCAATATAATGATCTTAACCACATGTTAGTCTTAAGCTTTGTTTTATATTTTGCTAAAATAAAAATTAATATATAAATATAATATAATATATAAATATTAATACTTATTTGATATTTTAATTAAATCTTGTTAGGTAGTTAATTGTAGTTTGGGTCGTATTTGTCTTCTTTTACGCATATTTTCGATTTGAATTCACCAATAATTATTGTACTGGCCTGATCTAGTAAAAACGTTTATAAAAATAATATGTAGGTACCTAGAAACAAATCTATAACTTAAAATATTTTTAAGCAGATATTATTAGCTTGTTAACTAGTTGTTTAATTTGTAGGTGCGAGTATTACATTTAATTTAAAGCCAAATTTTAAAATAAACTCTATAGACCAGAAGTTTAAAGAATACACTTCAGATACTTATGTTAGCAAGGTAAGAGATGGAAAGGGAAAACCTATCATTCAAATAATTTTCACAGAAAAACAGTTTACTGGAAATAGTTTGGAAGAAGCCAAACATTTGTATCAAATATTACAGAACGGTTAGTAACTATTCTAATTTTGTTAATAATACAATCAAAATATTCTATTTGTAGAAAACATATTAGAAGTAAACGCTTCTCAATTTTTGAGTTCCTCCCTTTATTACAATCCAGGAAATAGAGTCCAAAATGCTTTTGTTGTAATTTTTGGTTCATTGTTAACAGTATGTTTAGTTTTTGGTTTTATAATTTTACTTTTTGGAGAACATCCAACTTCTGCACGTTTAAGAGACAGGTAAGTCATAATTCTGAGATATTACGGTTTAATATTTAATATTAACAATCATAATAAATCAACAACTGGAAAAATGGTATATCAATTCCAATAAGGGACTGTATTATAAAACTATCCAAATAGAGATCCCATCTAAAAGTTGGTTTAGTGACTATCAAGGCAACAAGGTCTTTATATCATATATATGTAGACTTAGGTTTGGCCACTCCTTAGTTCCACAACACAAACATAAAATAGGACTGTCAGACACAAACTGTTGTGAATGTGGAGAATTAGGATCCGCAGAAGATATGATATTAGATTGTAAATTAAAAAAAAAAAGAAATAGATTATTTATAGATCAAATTTATATTAAACAATATAATAAGAAAACCTTTTAATCTACAAGCTTTGATTGCTACTAAAGATAAAAGTATCTATGAGATTCTAATTAAACACATTATTAATATAAAACTAAAATTGTGAAATTTTATGAGTGAAAATATAAAAATAAAAAAAAATAAAAAAAATTAAAAAAAAATAAAAAAAAAATAAAAAAAATAAATTAAAAAAAAAATAAATAAAAAAAAATAAACCAAAAAAAATTAATTAAACCAAAAAAAACACAAAGAGGGCCTAAACCTCCGAGGTGTTGAACCGAGTTTATGCCCTAGCGCTGTGTTAAAAAAAATAGTATATAATTTAATAGTTATTAGTAGGTAGTATTAATATTTGGTAAAGTGTGTGATAATAATTTTTGTCTAATTCTTTAAAAAAACACTCACTAAATATATATAAGTACATGTATAATATACATGTGAATTAATATTGTAAATCATTATGATCAAATAGATTATAAATATTCGGCTAATGGATTAGGTCCACAGTCAAAAGAAACCAACAGCACACACACAACAATCATATTATTTATTATTCCTCTTATGTCTGTAAAAATATTTAAATGTATGTTTATAATAAATTTACCAATTTTACTAAATAGATTAAATTCTAGTAGTATGAATTACACACCTACACACACACACACACACACACACACACACACACACACACACACACACACACACACACACACACATACACACACACGCACACATACACACACACGCACACCCGCACACACGCAAACACACACACACATGCACAAACGCACACGCACACCCACACACACACACACACACACACACACACACACACACACACACACGCAGACGCACACACACACGCGCACACACACGCGCACACACACACACACAGACGCACACACGCGTGTGTGTGTGTCCCACATAAGAAACAAAATGACATTTGTATATAAAAAGATGCGCTCTTTTCGGTAATAGTATCAAAATAAGGTATTAACATTTAAAAAAATGATAATGAAGTCATAACTTAAACAGTGAAGACGTCATCAAAAATATGAGTTTAGCAAAAAATGCGCATCAGAAAAATAAAATCGACGTGTCTGAGGTTTTTTTAACCAATGGTTAAATCAAGCGTTTAACGAATTAATTCGAACCTTTACCGTGCTCAACGGTGAAAAGAGAAAGAGAACTCAACTACCGTGAAAGAGAACTCAACCCCCTAGCACCACTCAACACAACCAAAAAATTAAATTGCAAACCCCTACTTGTGATACATCATTGAAAAGACTATAAAAATGCTCTTCAATGGTATAAGTAATAATTATAGAGGGTGAAGCAATAATTGTAAAAGGTTAGGGTAAATGGAAAATTTAATGAGGTTTTTGTTGATCTTGTTGATGACCCTGTAAATTACTGTTTAATAATTAAACAGGGTATTAATATCAGCCGGCTTACTATGACTTTTGTATTTGTAATGCTATCTCCCGGACTACTATTTTTAATGATAAGTGCCCGTCGGATTTGTTTTTTAATAAAAACTTAATTTGCTGTTTTTGCAAAACAAGTTGAAAATATTTGTGGTTTGGGTTCTGTCAGATTCAATATTGTTTGGTGTATTTGAGAATTTTAAATGCCATTAGCTTTTATCATTTGTACGATCGGTACTGTCATTCAGCTGTAGTTGTCACAATGGTTGACAGTATACCTGAACGCGTGGAGATCATTTTTCATATTTGCCTCCCAGAACCAGTGTTTCAAATATTTCATGAAAGGCATCCGTCCGAGCATCCGGGCATTTCATGAAAAGACTTACAAAAATCACGTGTACGTCCACGATTTAGTTAAAAAGTTTAGAGAAACGCGATCAGTGCAAAAGAAAGGAAGGGATGCCCCAAGATTACGAATAAAGCATCCCAAATTGAGGTCCTTGGATATTTTGCAATAGAGCCTACTAAATGTTGCACCCCTACTACTGCACCCGTACGAAACACAAATTCTTCAAGAACTAGGCGATGATGATCCAGACCGACGAGTTGAGTTTTGTGAACTCAGGACTGAAAGAATTCGCATTTAACCGAGAATGTTAAAACATGTTTGTTTAACTGATAAATGTACGTTTGTGCTGAATGGTAATGTAAATACTTAAACAAAACTGTCGGTACTGGAGTGATGCGAAGCCTCATCGATTCAGAGAAGATCACACTCAATATCCTGAAAAACTGAATGTTTGGGCAGGAATATTAGGCGATGCTATAATTATTGTCCCCTTGTTCATATCACGAAATTTAAATGGCGACATTGATCTCAGTATGCTGAAAAATACCATCGAACCTTTAATTGTGCAAGAATTAGAGAACCAAAGGGACAATCAAGGCCACCCAGCTCTAGACGATGATTTGCTGCACTTCCAATAAGATGGAGCACCTCCTCACTTTGCAGCTCCAGTTAGGCACTGGTTGGATACTAGTTATCCGAACAAATGGATTCGAAGAAGTGGTCCTATTGAGTAGCCACCGAGATCACCATACTTACCGCCACCTAACTTTTTTCTAGGATAGATAGCGGGTAGGAACTCCTTTCGGATAGTCCTATCAGGGAAAGTGAATCAATCCCTGCCTTCCGCAGATTCCAGGTGTTTCCTGACCCGGGAAACTAGAACCTGCTAAGGGTCCCTTGTCCAGGGTCACGGATGAAGTCTACAACGGTATCCAGGGAGGAGGAGAAGGTCTTCACAACGGTCTGGAACGCGGAGGTGGCAGCCCAATGGCCACAGGCAGACTGAAATGGCTGTGAATTAGACAGCATGTGGCGTGGTGACATTCACAGAAGCGGCACATGTACAGCGGTATAGAAGGCAACGGGAAACCACTACACTAATATTTCCCCAGCAAAATTACATAATGCTCATGGAACCTAAAACAACGGCCCTCAGTCCCGGGCACCTCTTAAATGAGGAGAGGGTGCTAAGAATCCCCCGGAGGAAAACAAAAAGAATAGGCACATGGAATGTGAAAATTCTATATGAAGCGGGAAAGGCCGCAAATTTAATTCAAGAAATGGAAATACTTGATATCGATATACTGGGATGCAGTGAGGTAAGATGGCCAAATACAGGTACCTGTGTGATGGGCAACTATACAGTATCCTATTCTGGAGATGAAGGCACTCAAAATAAAAACGGTGTAGCAATAATTACATCTAATGAAACTGCAAAATTAGTTTCTGGATTTCTACCAACATCAAATAAAATAATGCTAATAAAAATAGACAGCAAACCAGTCAATATGAATATTATTCAGGTATATGTCCCAACTAGTCAAAGCACAGAAGAAGAAATAGAACAATTTTACGAAGACCTAAACAAAACTCTACTGCAGACAAAGAAGCATGAAACCAACATAATATTAGGAGACTTTAACGCCGATTGGAAAAGGAAGAGAAGATGACACGGTGGGGGAGTTTGGCCTCGGAATAGGCCAGGTTATTTCTCAAGTTTTTTTCAGGCCATTTTTCAGGTTACCACCCAGACGTCTCTACACGTGAAAATCTCCAGCAGATGAAATAGAAGGACGCATCACAAGAAATCAAATCGATTACATAATCCACAAGGAAAAATTCCTGTAGCTGGCTGTATACCACGTATAACAAAAAGAGGTTAATCTTTGTAAATGGGTATATTTATTTAAAAAAACCCTTAAAAGGGGCCACATCAATAAAACAAACGTTTTCGGACCACACAGTCCATCATCAGGTTTTTAAAATCGAAAAATGCCTAAAAATAAGTATAAACCATTTAGTTAAAACAAACGAGATTGTGAAATTTTGACTATGGTTGATAAGCAAAAGATGGTTATACTTACTAGGTCACAATGCCTGAGCCACCAAAATACTAGGGTAAAAACCCTTTAAATTACATTTAGTTATGAAATATTGTACATTTTGTTGTAAAATAACTGTGATGTTCAGTATTAAATTAAATTTGACTATAGGTAACACATGGCTCAATCTGGTTCCAGAGCCGGTGAGAGGGAACCTCTACACTCGGAGAACAGCGTGGAACTGATTGACAAGATACTTTTGAAGGATGAAGATAACAGAATGTCAATGCAACAAAAACTATAATAGTTGTACATAGTATTACTACAGCCAAAAGATTCAACAAGTTTTGATGATTTTAAAAAATAGCAACAATCTAGGTGTTGGGATTTAAAAACTTTTTTATTTATTAATTTAGGGTATAAAAGATGTCAAATCACTGATGGTTTTATAGTCATGATTAATAGAATGACCTGTGCCTTAGGCAACTTATGTTGCTTTTCGTCGTATGGAATGTGGTCTAAAGTGTATTTAATATTGGGTTAGCTTATATATATGAAATTTATCCTTTTATGTTTAACACATCTAGGACAAGGTAAAAATTAAATAACAAATATTTGAAGCTAATATCAGACCTCATATTTAAATGACTTTATTTAAGACTGCTCCTATGGTGAAAAATTAATAAAATTAAGTTTAGTAAGATGGAAATCTACAGGCTGAAGAAATTAAAGTAGTAACATATGTGATTGAATTTAAAATTGAAGAGGCTGGGTTCCCCAGAGACTAATGAGAATAAAAGTAAAGGAAATGACTGAAGAAAAG